TTTCCGAAACGCTTGTTGCTGAAAGCATGTCAGGCTTGGCGCATGAAACTCATAGTTGACACTTGGTTCTTTTCTCCTCTTTTTTTTGTTTTTTTTTTTAATTGTGATCAGTGCGTATAAGGATAGAAAATGGGGTTGAGGTGGAGGGGCGGAAAAGTGGCGGTCGCGTCGATCGAAAAGTCGGCACGCTTGACGTGGGAGTGGCACATTGGATTTACGTATTTGCCTAAACAGCAGTGACAGGGCCTGACCCGTCAGTCGGCAGCCAGCAGCAATCGCCGATTTATTCTACGGAAGCCGACACCAATGGCAAGATCAACATACACGTGTCGGTTGTTTTCGTGAAATCCTTGTCGGATTTGAAGAAGAAACGGGCACAGAATCGGCACATATCCACTGGCTCCTTAGACGCGAATGGGAACGGCATCCCGATGCCGGTCTCGTCCATCTCCAATTCCGATCTCAGCACCGACGATTTCACGCAGCGCTTCACTGGGAACACCAGTGAAATCGTGAGCGATAATCATTCGGAGAAGAGCTGCTGCACCGTCATGTAACGCGCTAACTTATGTACTTGCGTAACAATCTCGCCTCTTTCGACCTTGTCCGCTGTTGCGTACAGTTGGAACCCATTGGAATCCTTGCGTTTCGCACGTGAACGAAAATGTTATATATATCTCTCTCAGTATTCTTTCAAGACTCAACGCTGCGTTCTTACACATTTGCAATTTTTCGAGTCGTTTAATATTTATGAGCGATATTTTTTTATTATATATACATAAATTTTCTTAACGCATAGCGACACGCATTGTGTACATCAAATAATACCCGCGGGGACTCGTATCGACAGCTTTAAAATCAAAACGATTGTCGCGTTTTGATGTCGCGCAGACGGCATGTACTTAAATCGTAACGAAACGTTTTCTCTGCGATTGTTACGTGCATCGTAGAGCGCTTGAACCAAGATTGGTACCAAGAACACCTTGTTACGATGATTACTTAGAACGTGTACTTACACATTTGTAGAAAATATAATTGCATTTTCAGATTGTTTACAATTATCCAGCGCCTAAAAGCGTTCAAGTATTGTACAGATTATTATTTTATTTATTGTTATATAGCAAAAGGAAATGTATAGAGACAACTAGTGGAGTAAGAGATATGTGTTGCAATTCGTAGATATTGTCTAGATTCGAGATTTTCTAGTATCTCCGCAGACAGGTATAAGACTATCCAAATATCTTCCAATGTTTTTTATGAGACTCTAGCTGTAAGGAGATTGAGTGAAAACTGTTTTTTATATCGATTTAAAGATTATTTGTAAATTTTGATATGTGGTATTTATCTATCTATGTATTATAGACTTCACTTGAATTCCTCGTTCCGCATTTAGCAAGTCATACATCGCTGATTTACGATTTTATATTTGTGTTACGCCTCTAACAACGTGTGAGGCGTTCGAATTTAATTCGATACTCGTGCCGGAAATGTCCAAGATATACAATTTTACTTCTTTCTTTTTTTTTTTGTTTTGTAACGTTTATGTATCCTCTCCGTGTAACGAGGGAGAGTTCCAGTAAATCAAAATGAAATGCCAGATAATAAGAAACTCTATTCGAAATCACGCGTATGTGCAGGATGTATGTAAAAATAAATAATCTATCCTGCCGAACGGTCATATTTTTTGTACACTTTCTCTCAAACTAACATCCAAATTAGAAATACGAAAAGAGATCTTTGAAGGAAGTAAATAGTACAAATAAACGCTCATACATTCCTCCGCGATGCACAATAAGCGTTGCCAAACTCTATACGGCCTCCGACCGGTCGTATGACTCCTTCCGCGCGTCTTGCAATTGCGTTAATTATAAAATTTCTTATAACGTCGCCGATTATTCCAATTAAAAAGTACGTAGCGCACGTGCGATTGTTCACGTATAATTTGATTGCGAATGTCTATGGCGAAAGTTGATTTCAATGGCTGTATTTCAAATGAATTTATGTGACGTCTACCACCTGTTTATATTATATTGTAATATAGTAATATTATATAAAAATAAAATTACTGTATATGTTATCTTTCTCTCTTGTATCTTGTATTTATATGTTATCTATTTTATATATCACATCTTGATATTGCATAATCCGCAAAAATAGTTTTATCAAATTTTAATATTCTCGATTTGATATTTAGGAATATTAATTCATTTGGCAAATTGCTACATATGATTTAAAAATTGCAAAAACGTAAATAAAGAATAACATTCTTAATAGAGAACTGATGGATGATTTTGTGAATTATGTTACTTAATATTTATTTACATAAAAAAGTCTAGAGTTTATTGATAAACTTCCTCTCCCGCAGTTTATATATTAAAATATAATATTTATACTATTACAGCATATATACTATTATAGCATATAATTATTCTCAAAAACGATTTCGCTGATTTCACTAATATTATTTCTATGAATCATTTCAAGAAAATTGTTATCAGCATGAAAATGTGAACTCTGCTTGTGTTAACACTAAACAAATAACAGAGGTCAGGAACTGAGTAGTGACTGATAATGGCTCTATGATGATATGATGGTAATGGATCTATGATGATAGTCATGGTGATATGAACATCTGTGATGGCTTAGTAGCTAGAGGAGAAAGATTACATCAGTCGGCTGCCAATTGAGAACTGATTTAATCAAGCGTGCAAGCGTAAGTTTCTTCTGATGCAACCACGACGCTTTATTGAGCCTCATTAGTGTTACCAATTGGCAACAAGAGCGCGATGTTAAATGTCGAGTTTTATTCGTTCTTATTCGTGTTTTAAATTTATTCTTCATCGTCTTCATTTTTATAGATAATCATTTGCGTAATTTCGCCACCTGTAAAAATAAACCGCCTCCTCCGGTCGGAAAAAAGATTATCTAAACTATTCAAGATAATTTCGCGATATCTCTTGATATCGCCATATTCATTACCCGCGATGCAAATCTTTTAATTAAAAAGGTTTTTGTATCAAAATAATTGTATCTATATTATTGTTTATATTATAGAAACATTTGCTTCTTTAAAATCTTCAATATTTATCGAGTAATCTTGTATCAGGATTAATCCTCAATAATAAATAAAAAACTATCTATATAATCTATAATAAATCCATTGAAAGATTGATACATAATCTATATATATTTTTTTTTAATAATTTTCCGGCAAACTCGATATCATTTAAATAATCACATTAATTAAACATGCGCTTTATCGATTCGTGCATTCGTATTTTATACATCATCTGAATTATATGATACCAAACTAAGTCACTTTTAAATCTTTGGATGATATTATTTACTTTTACTTTCCCTTAATAGCCGAATTAAAAATTTAATGATAATGCAAATCTAAATACATTCACATTTAAATTAATAGAGAAATATTGTTCTGTATTGATTTATTTAATTTCTTTTTTATATTATTCCCGTTTCTATCATTATGTACTATTTATTTTGCATGATTTACGATATATACGAAGAACCAAAAGAGAATGTAACATTCTTTAGTCAGTAGCTGTATTAGAAATCACAGTGTAGCGGCCTCGATCAAAGATGTACAATAGTTACGGGGTCAATAGCGTCGGATAATCATATTCCGGATGAAACATAATAAATTCATGTCACGTAACATCAGACAGCAAGTTTGTGATTAAACATTCTCTTTTCATTGGCAGAATACATATACAGACATTATGAGATGAGATGGCAAGAAGCCATTAAAGGTCATTTTTATTTATTATTTTATATCTATTTAAAATACAATTTTTATTCTGAAAGAAATATTAGTAAATCAATGAATAAATCCCATTGATGAACAAAAATTGTGAATGTAATTTTAATTAAAATTGTGAAAATATAAAAGATTTAGATATATTTAAGAAAGCAATACTAGAGAGATATTCGCAATATTGCTTATCTTTAACCGCACAAAAACTTATCCAGTAAGATATTTTATTTTGACAATAAACATCTGTCTTCTTTTCGGCTTTCTTTATAATTTCCTTGATTTTAAAATTAGCTGTTGACACATTAATAAAAGAAATCTTCGCTTCAAAATAATGAGCAATTTTAATAAAAATAAAGAAATTGTTTGGAAAAGTTATTAAATT